GGTGACTGAAATCAATAAGCCAAAATGTGAACAATCACAGCTATCGCTATAATTCAGATGAGAACAACTCCTCAAGGACAGAATGAATTCGCACAGGCGCAGAATCACAAACACAAAGCGGGTTAAAGTAAACGTACCAGTATCTAACACAGCTTCGACTTGAACTAACCTGTTTGAGGCAAACAAGACCACCACTTTTCTCGACCATCGGCGTTTGAGTATAGAAATCTATCAGTTCCTTCAACGTTGAAAACTGGTGACCGCCACCCACGTCAAACTTTCCGTCCGACTTGCGACGGATAAGAATGTGTGACACCTGTTCGCCTGTAGCCACCGACAAGACGTAGGACTCAGGTTGGTGAACGGATTCTCGAACCAAATAACTTCCATACTTCCCTTTTTCAAGTAGCAGCTTCTGAGCCTCCTTCCCGGTAATCCGGCCGTGGAACCATCGAGAGCTTCGGGGAGAAAGGGAAACAGACTTTAAAAGAGGAACAGGAGATATACTGCCGTAGTTAAACGAGCTGTCAAAGTCCACGAAGTCCAGTGACATTTAACTCATGGATGTGGACAAAGTTTTGCGAAATGCAGGAAAACAAAGAACTAAAACTCACATGATTACCGATGATTGAAATGTTATAGGCCAAAAAGAAGATGAAATGAACACGACCAATTGATGAAAAAAGGTACGAGACAAAATATACTGAAAATCTTAATTATGCGCGCTGGTTAAGACGAAATTGTTCTACGAATTAATAAACAGAACATACAGAAAATGGAAAACGTAGAATTCAAAGCGGAAAAAGGCCAACAAGAAGTTTCTCTCAAAGGACCTGCTATGAATGTATATTTCCAGAGGGTGGGAGGATTTATCGTTGCAAGTAACTTGAGCGTCTATTAAATACTTACAGTGTACTTTATGGTGATGGGGGCATACGAACAAAAAATAGCCCTATGAAGTAAAACACGCCATATTTCTGGTCTACATCCAAGCGTTGCATTTGAGTCAGTGAACGCGAACTATCAGTGACAAGCTTAGAGGAAAATTTGCGTGTCCAGTTTCAAGAAAACTCGAACGAGTTCAAGTCAATTTATTACACAAATGAATGCAGACGAATAAACGGTACTATGGCGATCTTATAAGGATATGCATCTCTAAATATAGCCAGAAATTCCGTAAACGAAATATGGAAAATTATCATTTACCTCTCAGCAATTGGATCCTGAGAAAACAAGGGATATCTGAGCTCTATAATTGAGCCGTTCTTCTCCTTCAGTTGACCATGATTCTCTCGGTAGTAGTCAACAAGTTCAGACAGTGTTGCGAACTTCTCTCCTCCGTACAGATCAAGAAAATCGTCTGTGTTTTGAATTCTGATATGCGTTACGCAATCTTCACGGCGTACAGAGAGAGTAAAATTGCCAGGATTGCTGTGACTAGGGCGAACGAGGAAACTACCCGGCACCCCTTTGTCCATTAACAACTTTTCCGCTTGCAAACCGCTAAGGTTGTGGTGGAACCACCTACGAGTGACTCAAGTTTAGATGGTTATACCTTCTGCGTTCGGGTCCCATATTAACGAATAAAGAGCAAGAGCGGAATTGTTAGCGATGCGTTGCAGATTTTAATAAGCGGTAAAATCGGATGGGTTCGTCAACCAGACCAGTGGTTCAGAGTGAAAGACGGGTAACAAGCAGTCGACTCGTAAGATATTTGGACCTCTACCCCCTTGACGATAATCTTATGAAATTTTCTGCGTAGAACATCCAGAAATTACGCCGATGCAATGCAGCTTCAATTTTCCGTCACTTATCTACATAACTTTATCGTCAGATAAAAGGACGCGAACACCCGAAAAATCAAATTATTCAACCAGGACACCAAGCTTTCAAAGACGCCTGTTAAAAAGAGAAACAAGAGAGACTGCTGTTAAAAATCTATGGTTTTTGCACAGTTTCCTGTAGCAACCGCTAAGTCATTCTATATGCTTGTGGAATAAAAACTTTGTTAAAGATAGAAAGACGCCCAGGGACAATAAATGAAGGGTGCGGTGTCAGCAACTATTGCAAAAGATGCAGTACAGATATGACAAGGTAAGACAAAAAAAGGGACTAAAAGGTAAAATTAATATGCAAACGGACGCATGAAGTCAGGAAACGCAGGAATAACTGACTTCTTCAGCATAGTTCACTATGCAGTGCTTCCCATTTCGGTGACAGCATTTTCACTTGAGTTTATTACGAGGTGCCTTAATAAATCAAAACGTCAGGGAGCAAAAACTTTATTGAATAAGTGAACTAGGACGTTCTGGCTATAACGATCGCTTAATAAAAAGTTGGGAGATGGAGATTTCATCACTGACTTTATGTACTAAATATCCACTTCCCACTTCACCCTTGCAATACTTGATTTCTCCCGAACTGACTCCTTATAGAAACCTAAAGTCCAGTCCCCGGCGAGACCAAAGAGAACGACGCCCGATCATAAGATAGGCACTCCCGGGTTCCCCACAGTGGGTGCAGTTGAAGTTCCTGAATGCATGCCTGCATTTTGGCATTGGTCTTTTCTGTGTTCTCAGCGGTTCTCTGTAAAGTTCTTTCCTATTGGTATATTTGACTTTATTTTCGTTTTCGTTTTCTTCAATGCAGTGTCAGTCACGCCGATAGCTCTTATCACACCCGAGTATGTTTCGCCCTTTTTAAACTTGCATGAATATTATGCAGGATAGATTTACATCGCGAATGACACTAACTCAGACAGACTATTAAGAATACCGTTCTACTAGTAGTGGGTTTGGCTCAGTGCCCTATTTACCCTAATAGAACATGCCTCCGTCCTAAGGTATGGACACAACCGGGATTAACGAGACCATGCACCAGTCTGCGATATCGCTCGTTTTTTATTTTTGGCACAAGTGAATAATGATCATGAATGGTTTTGCAGTACAGGGAGTTGGGGAAGGGGGGTGAGGAATTTAATCGTGCGGGCTGTTTTGCAAGAATAGTCTCACACTAGATGCTAGGTTGGCTAGAGCGCAGTTGGTAGCCATGCCCCATGTTACCGGTGGCTGGGGGGTTTGCCTACTGGAACCATAGTTACATTTGACCCCATTTGGCTTCCGTTTTACGTTTGAGGTTAGAATTAGGGTATCGGTAACAGGTTTCCAGTTTTCGGGTTAGGGTTATGCTTTAGGCTTAGGTTTCCGGGTTCCGGTTAGGGCTTGAGCGTACGAGTATGTTTCGGTATAAAGGTTAGGATTTTCAGTTACGACAATGTCTAAAGGCTACTGTTACGCTTACGATTTCGGTTAGGGCTAGGGTTGACGTTGGGATTAACGGTTAACGTTTAAGGTTGAGGTTAGGGTTACGGTTGCCGTCCGCTTCCCCATTCCTGGCTATCATCTGCGATCTTACCGCTAGGTTCTAATCCATGGAAACGAGGGTGCGGTCAGCGAAACGCTGCGAATTAGGGCAAGCCTTGGGCCGAGCAGTTTGTGTGACAGTGAGACAACAGTGTCTCAATGAGTTCTCCATCCGTCATGCCGATTGACGTGACATTCAGTTTATTACGGATATCAAACCAACGTGCCTGTCGTCCGTCTAATGAGGCAACAAACAAAGCTGTCAGGAGAGGTAACATTTATCACCTACGGGTGAATTTATTCGCAGTAAAACAGGCTTGCAGATAGCTACGGCCTCATTTTCCAGCCTAATCCTTTTCGTCTAGCGCAACGGTGGTAAAAATAGGTTTGTTTGTCAGTCATTAATAATGACGGACACCAGTGACTAGTCTGTCCGTGTTACATACCGGCTTGTCCTCACTTCACCTAAACCAGTCAGCAGTAAATGGTCCCGAATGTCACAGAAGGAGTGGAGGCCATAACTACCACAACGTTGCTTGTACTTGATACGGCTGCGATCATGCCTGATCTAGCCGGCCTCGATGATGTCCCGAATTGTACCTCTCCACGCGTGACGATCCGCGGCAGCAGATCTAGACAGCTCAACCCATTCCCTTCGCCAACGACGGAGACCGAATACCGAAGGTCCAAGAACCACCTCCATGTCTTGACGGACAGTGTCGAGCCAGGTTTTGAACTGACCCCCTCTTCGACGCCTCCAATGGGGCAACGGTGCCGGATCGAGGGCAGTAACACTGAGCTCCTGAGGTGGACGACGAAGAACATGCCCGAACCACCTCAGTCGTCTTTCTTGGATGGCCTGAGTTATCCTCGCGATGTTGTCGCAGCGAGCGCGGACTATATCATTTGAGACGAAGTCGGTTAACTTCACTCGAAGGATGATCCTCAAGCAGTGGTGGTCAAATACCTCCAGTTTTCGCTCGTCCTCCACGCGCAAAGCCCAGCATTCACAACCGTAGAGAAGGACAGACCGGACAGATGCACGGTACACGTGAATCTTAGTGGCGATGGAGAGGTCACGTCGGTTCCACAGGCAGTTCCGAAGGCTTGAAAAAACCCAGCGGGCAGCATCGATTCAGGAGACAATGTCGTCCTTACTCTGTCCATTAGGCAGCAGCCTCGCCCCGAGGTATTTAAAACTGTCCACTTCTTCAAGTTGACAGCCATCAATCCCCAGGGGTACCTTCTCCTGGTCAGGGATGCAGCTTGAGAATGCTTTAGTCTTCCCAGCGTTTATGGACAAACCGACTGATTTAGCGACCTCGTTCACCCGTGACACCATAGACTGCAGATCACCAAAACCTTAGGCAAGTAAGGCGATATCATCGGCATAGTCGAGATCAGTCAGTCGATGTCCGGGTGCAAATTCAACGCCGTCACTGTCGCGTAGGGCCCTCCCGAGTATCCAGTCAATAGCGTAGTTGAACAGTATGGGTGACAGGATACAACCCTGTCGGACGCCAGACCGAATACCGAACGGTTGGGAAAGATTGTTACGGACCAGGACTCTCACAGTAGTGGAGCGATAGTAGGCCTTGATCATGGTGATGATTTTTGCCGATACACCATCTAGCGCCATTATCCGCCACAGAACGCAGCAGCAAAGTCAACGAAGCAGACGGCCGTCGGTTGTTGATAGCTATGGCGAAATTCGAGAATGCGCCTCAGTGTGAACATCTGATCTGCGCATCCACGTCCAGCACGAAATCCGGCTTGGTTGGGCCTCGTCCTTGAGTCACGCACAGCCTGGAATCGCCTGAGTAGGACAATAGCGAAGATTTTCGCAGCAACGTCGATGAGACTTATGCCGCGGTAGTTCTCGCATCTCGTCTTATCTCCCTTCTTGAGGATAGGTACAAGGATGCCTAAGCCCCAGTCATCAGGAACAACTTCGTCTCTCCACGCTCGTTCAATCAGCTCATGGAGCCAGGGCGCCAGAGTGTCGGCACAAGACTTAAAGATTTCAGCGGGTATACCGTCCTCTCCGGGTGCCTTATTGTTGCGCAACTTTCGTATGGCATCGGCGACTTCTTCCTCGGAGGGGGGATCGCATGCCACTGCATAGGTAGGAGAGAGAAGAAACTCCGCTGATGAGGAGAACAAGGGCGATGTAGGTTGGGTATCGAAGTTGAGATGGTGCTCAAAGTGCTCACGCCAGCGCTTGACTTTGGCCGAGTTGTCAGCAATGAAGCCGCCGTTCACATCGCGAACAGAGTCACTCAGTGTAGAGGGCTTACCGCTTACTTGGCGGATCAGACGGCAGAGCTTTCGAGTGCCACCAACGTTCGAGGCCTGTTCCATGGAAGTCGCTATTTCAGCCCAATATTGCTTCCGGTCATCCCTGGCCGATTTTGCCGTCATCTTCCGAAGTAGGCGGAAGTAGTCATCGTTGCGGGACCTGGCTCTAGCCGTCTGAGCAGACAACTTCAGGGTTCTTCCGCTGATCCAGTCACTGCGGCGTCGCTGGGTGTATCCAAGGATTTTCTCAGCTGCCCCATAGACTGAGGTCTTCAGTGACGACCACTGGTTAGTGACTTCTCCGTCGGCTCGGGTCGTAAAACAGGTCCGGATTTCTCTGCTTAGGGCCTCGGCAGTGCTGGCTTGCCGGATTTTTGCGACATCGAGGCGTCTAGGACGTGGCATATTTGGCGCGGATGAGAGATGAACTTTCAAGCGTGTATGGACGAGGACATGGTCCAACCCATGGGCGGTACCAGTCTAGGCACCACGCATCGATCTGCTATCGTGAACCCAGCTGCGGAGCCTTGAGCTGACTAGTATGTAGTCAATCTGACTGGCCGTACGACCGTCGTTTGAATGCCAGGTCAGTAGATGTTTTTTTGCAATGCTGGAAACATGTGTTGGTGACAAGCAGTCGGTTTCGATCAGCAAAGTTCAGCAATCTCTCACCGTTTTCACATCGGGAACCAAGCCCAAAGCGGCCAAGAAGATGACTGGTTGTGAGGTCTCCAGGTCCAGTTCGACCATTCCAATCGCCAGCAACAATCAGCAGATCGTGGCGAGGAAGTCTTTCAACTAGCGCTTGCAACTGAGAGTAAAACGCCTCTTTATCGTGCTGTTCGGCAGCCGAAGTTGGTGCGTACACAGCGACGATGGAGATGTTCGTGAAGTGACCCTTCAGTCGCACATAGGCTATCCGGTCATTGACTGGTTCCCAAGCAAGTAGCGCGAGGTCCGCTTGTTGTGATAGGGCGATCGCCACACCGTGTCGACGAGAGGAATCGCGGGAGCCGCTGTGGTACAGGGTGAAGTGTGATTCGCCTTACGGGATCTTTATTTCACGGGAGCCTGAGTCAGGAAGTCGTACCTCAGACAGACAGCAGACATCCACGTTGTACTGGTGAAGGCTGCGTGCGGTCAGACTTTGGGTACCAGGGTCCAGGAACGTTCGTACATTCCAGCATCCAATACCGAGAGTCCGTCCACGATTGAGTAGTCCAGCTCGCATACTATTCGCCTTCACCACTGGACCAGGGTTGCGGAGCGCGCGGTTCCCGCGGACGCCGTAGCATGGGTCGTAGTACTGTAATCGGACATGTTTCATGAGGTTTCTCGGGAATTTCGAATACGGGCGGGTCCCCAACAGCCGCTCGGATGGTTTGTTCGAGGTTGTCTCCTCTAGCGCTTCGGCTTAAAAACTTAACCACAAAGCAGCGGTGACAAGCAAGCTTATTTAGTGGCGGTTGACGGTCGCCATGCCACAATGCCGTCATTGGGTTTTGCGGCATTTTATAAGGCTTTCAGCGTGCCAGACTTCAGCCGACCGCACCCTGGTAGCAATGTCGCTGCTGGTCCGCGACTGCTTATTCGTCAGACCTGGGTCTGCCTATTTCGCAGCTAACCTTCACTGAAGGTCGTCCCACTATCCGCCACCTGTGGACGCGCCGGGTAGCCAGCAGCTAGGCTAACGGGCAACCCGTCTTCGTAGAGAAGACATTAAATACTGGCGCTTGTTCTAGGGGAGAACTGAGGTACGCCCTCAGCCGACAATCTTCAAAACCAAATTATACGTAACGATAGATTAAATGAAAGTTGATTGCTTATCAGGAAATTAGCCTAGAATATCCGTGCTGGATGGACCAAATTTTCTCTTCCACTTCTATACCAGTAACGATTACGAGTGCCGTGTTATGAACTTGCCGCCAGCCTCGATGATTGCTCCTGCAACAACTCTTCAAGAAAATCCCTAACTGATAACGCAGCATTAACAGCGGCATGAGAGATGAGTATTGGCATATTTTAACAGCATATTTAGGTCGGACAGGGAGCCTATATGAATATTCAATGCTGGACTAAAATCTGACCAATTATACAGTGGCCTTGAGTGGATAGCATGCCGACTGAACTCCTGGCTTGTTTGTCTGGTCGGATTGACCCCTCCGTTCTGTCCGTATCTGGCTCGACATCAGCGCGCGCAGGGCATGTGAATAAATCGGTCGGCGGCCGCGGACGAGTCCAAAGAACGGCATGCGAACGAGTCTGTTATAGCCGCTCCTCCCACTTTTCCGCACTATGCGTTTGTATGACCTGCGTGAGCTGGCTTTATGAAAAATATTTTAACAGTTCTCATGGGTGTACAGCCACTACCGAGTAGTCTGTGAGGAACCCAGTTATCCAGGTATATTTACTCAAGAGGACGAGCATTGTGAATATGCGTCAGGGCCCGAAGAAATGGTTCCCCTGTAGTTTTTTGATGGGTTATCAGGTGCCAAATCAGGCGATTAGTAATTAGAGTGACTAATAAGAGCGATGACATGTGAGCATTATGTTTAAAGACTGTCCTACGTCCTGGTGACATCCGCATTGGGGAATACCTCTTCGTCTGGAAAAAAAGCAATGAGTGAAACATCATGGTATGGAGAACGCCGTTTGGAAGGGCACTTCCAGTAATAGCGGTGCTTTCCCGTTTGCCGCGTCGGTCGATCTATTTTACATAGCGTTGCATCAGAAGGTGTTTAACAAAGACAGTCCAGATTCCCGCCCGAGTCAATGCCTAGGGAATACTAGCAATGATCGTGTGCTTGTAGTGTTTGTTCGTCTTACTGTCATCTGTTCGGATTCCTCCGAAATAGCTGTTCGAATTTTGACGACTGTTCGCCGTGCCAGCCGGTACTGGATCGATATTTCGCTTTCTCATGGCTGCTTTAGAAGCACTTATGGGACGCACTTCCGTAATTTTTATATCGACACTTTTTATCCTTGCCCACAAGAACCTGCTGCATGACACGGACTCAACCTTAACTCATACAGTGAGGCCGCTCCACCCTGGTTCAATCTGGTTCACATTGACATATATGCGTAAAATGTCAGTCGTCTCCAATGTTCGGTGGTAGGAATTCGTCCCTGCTACCTAATTTATAATTTCATTCGGAAGCGGTTTAAATGGAAACGGTTAAACCTTCTCGTTTTATTCGGCGATTGTTCTCGCCGCATGACAGCTTGGTCTGGATGACAGGCTTGTGGATCTCGACTTTCTGGCTGTGAATCGCACCACGGTAATTCTTGTACACCTTGGCTGACGACACATGAATGCGTATATGAGTGTACATGGACAGAGTCATCTGGGGATCTGCCCGCAACCTTAAAAAAACTGAGGGTGCTTGGGTTGCAGTCTCACGCTGATGAAACAATATTGCATAAAATATTACCCTACTGATAACATACTAGTAACCTGCTTATTTGAGCTGGAATATGATGTGTGTCATTTTTAATTGAGTCATCAACGGCATCGTTTATCATCCTAAATACACGATAAAACACTAAAACTAGGCCTTTTGCGGCACACATAGAGGGATCTTCAGACTTGTTTGCCAATGCGTCAGATTTCATTATCGACTAACTGAGTGACTCGGGAGGAATAGTGAGTCCGACACCAAGAAACCCATCTACTTGACAAATCAGTACGTTTCGTTTTATAACAAGGGGAAGCCGCTTGAATTTCTCACGACCCGCTTAAAGTTATGGCCTCGAAGGCTAAAACTGGACAAGTTAACTCGGTCCCCATGGGAGTATTTTGAAACTACTGGATGACGGAGAGTCAGGGTACACCTGAAGTTTCTTGCGACAGCATGTTTACGACGGGCGCTGAGTATTGTTTGCTCAGTTCGATAGTTTACGTCCATGTCTAGTAAAAACTTCAGTTTGGTGTCCAGCCGAATTTTAGGCGTAGGAGGCAGCGGAAGTTAGGATAAGTACTTGGACCTGGTTTCACTTACTGTGTTGCATAAAGTCTTTCGACGTAAGTTCGCTGTCCATTGTGTGTCCCATAAGGCCGTCAAACAATTGCTTGATTATCAATTTTAACAGTCACAAGTGTAAAATTTTTCTTTTAGTTTGCATAACACATCTTGCTTTATGGTGCCAATGGTATGCGTTAGATCAGTGAGAGGAGTTGTATGTGGGCTGATTATGATTCCCTGAAAATTCTTGAGCGGTTGCGAACTGAGAAAAGCATATGAGCCGTCTGCCGATTTATCTGAGAAGCATACAGACTTTCTGGAAAAAATTTCTCAAACGGTTAGCCTCGGATGATTTGCCAATACTTGGGAGAGGACTTACAAACAATGCCGGTAATGGAGATCCTGGTGACTGTTGAAGATTTTTCTGTTTCCCTTGCGTCTGTAGGGGCGCGTAGTAGCTGGTTCCCTGATACCTTTCGGGATTTGACCTTACCATCTCAGTCGCTGCTCCCGAGTTTAGCTCCATCGTTACATTCTTCCCCTTATTTCTTTCCCTGTGATTTTATTTGGAGGAGCAGACCGCGTTCGGTCTAGCATTTAAACACATTTCCGACATCTTGGCGTATGAGCGCGTAATTCAGCATTTACTACTGTTGGTGTGATTACAAGCCTCTGGTTAGGATACGTTATCTGTAACACCTTCCCGAGGACTGATAGGTATTGTCTTCCTAAATCGTGTTGCCTGAAAATACCAGGCGACTGTCACGTTCTATTATATGTCAAAGCAGTGGCCTAGGGGATCTACGAGCCGAATTAGCCCGGGTCGTCTATATGCTTTCTTGTCACCTTGTCTTGGGATGCATTGGGGGGGGGGGGAAATGTAACGTGAGGAACGGTTTCTGAATGACTAAAATGCCTCTATACAGGCATCATACAAGGCGCTGGACCTAGTGGAACCCTGCGGTCCATCCTTATTACTTTTAAGCCTATCAGGCGAAGCGGCAGCTGGGGTGTGGCCTCTCGACCGGGGAAACATTCCTGAAGCTATATTTAGGCAGCGTGAATCAGGTGGGCGTCGAGCGGATTAGCTACTATTTGCCTCGAGAACAGAACCGTTAAGAGCTATTTTTGCAAGTTGAAAAATAGGTGGGCTAACCTATAAAATCTCAACAGAAATTCAGAAATACGTTTCCGTTTCGAAAAGAGCAATTAAGTAGGGTTGTAAAACCAACCATTGTATAGCATAATTCTATAATAATTCAGTTACCCCAAGACGCCGGCTTTCAAAGAAACTTCCTATCGGCTGAATCCAAAAGCCGTACTCCGTAGAAAGTGACTACTTATGTAGCATGTATTTTTTCATTAATTTTCGATGCCCTTGAAAATTCAATTATTTTTTCATGGAAAACATGCATAAAAATATTCATTCTTTTGCTCACCCAG